AAAGTCACGGATCTATATAATTTGGTCACAGATTCACAATTTAATTACTCATATATTATTTTTCGATCACAAATCAAAATTTTTTATGTCAAAATTATTTTACGATCACAATTCAAAACTTTTGTTGATTACAAATTTTTTCGTCAGATAAAAAATTTATACGTAACAAATCACAAATATTATAGGTCACAATTTATTAAATAGTCACAAATTATTAATTTTTTAAGTCACATATTATTTTTTTAATCACAATTTATCTTTCTCATTGGTCATAAATTAACCAATTTAATGGTCACAATCAACCCAATTAATATGTGACCATTACCAAACAATCACTGAACAACACCACCACTGTAACACCAACAACACCATCGCTTTAACCACCACAACCCACCACCACGATACTAATAACACCACCACTGTAACACCAACACGACCATAGCTTTAACCACTACAACGCACCACCACCATCAAGGTGAACATCACACAGATCAACGCCTCAAACACCTCTGCTGCTTCCATTTTCAGATCGACCACCCCAAAATCGTTGCGACTGTTGCGACGAACACTGTACTAATCAACGTCTCAAATGTTGCTGTTGCTTCCATTTTCAAATCGATCACTCCAAAACCATATTGATCGTGCGCGACGAACACATCGATGCCCAACAGCGGTGTCGTGAACGCTGCTACAACCTGGAATTGCAATGCTACCTACACCACCGCCACACACCACGAAAAACACCACTGCCATATCTGCCAACACCACACAACCACCACAGCACATGCACCACCACGCAACCATTACACCACATCCACTTGCATTTTCTTCAGGGAATAGAGAGAGTGCGAGACATGAGAGAGAGAGAGAGAGAGAGAGAGAGAGAGAGAGAGAGAGAGAGAATATTGAGAATTAATTAGGATTTGTGTATGTTGGAGTATATATAGTTAGTAAAAATATTTATTTTAAAAAAAGATATTATTTAAAATAAAACATCTGATTTTTGAAAGATTAAACTACCTATCTTATTTTAGAACTGTGAAATTTTAAAGTAGAGAATTGTGTAATTTCCACAATTTAAAATGGATCTTTGGCTCATTTCAAGTTTATTGTTACGCCCAATACCATCGATGTGTAAGGGGTTAAGTTTCACACACAAAATAAATAAATAAATTATACAGGCTCGGGCCATGTCAAGTCAGCCAACTGGGTCTATAATTTTTCATTGAAGAAACCTCTAATGAATGACCATTTTTTTCCTTCTTTTTTTCTATTTTTCATTTTAGGATTTATAGAAAAGGTCTATGAGACCCACATATAAAATTTTTCAACAATATCCAATTTACTTTGCATCTCTAGATAAAGTTGAAACAACTATCTATTATATTTACTGCCGAAAGTGGAGTCGTGTTATAAGGTCATCTCCAACGCTGCACCAAATTTTACATCATTTTGCACCAAATCTTACACCAAATCAAAATTCTTCTCCAACCATTATACCAAAACTTACACCAAATGAACAGTGTTTTATTATTTTATTCATTCTTTCGATTTTTGACAGTGTATTTATTTAAAAAATTTATTTATTTATTTATTTTATAACTATATAAATTATTAAATCATAACTTCATTAAGTTAACAAATATATTGATTACTAAATTATTCACGTGTTTTATATATTATGTTAAATTGACAAAAATAATTGATTATATTATTAATTTATAATAAACAATTACGTTAAATTTACAAAAATAATAAACTTTAAACGTAAACTTTACGAATTAAACTTTACGTTAAATTAACAATTACGTTAATTATTATTGATTATATTATTAAAAATAATAAACTTTAATAATATAATTAATAGTTAATTAATTAAGTAATTATCATCATTATTATTATTATCATCATTATCATTATAGAACGAAAATGACACAAATACCCTTGATCATTATCTTTGAAAAATGAAAAATAAAGGCAAAATGGACATTGCACATTTGGTGCAAAAAATGGTGTAATAAATAGTGTTGCACCAAATATGGTGCAACACTATTCATGTTGCACCATTTTGCACCAAAATTTGGTGCAATGGTTAGAGGAAGTTTGCACCAAATTTTGGTGCAATATGATGCAATACGGCATCCATTGGAGATGCCCTAAGATTAAGAAATGAAATTAAACTATATTTGCAGTGATAACGATATATTCTACTCATCATAAATTGCACGTAAGACAATACTAAACTATCAATATGTTTGATCCACATTATTAAAAAAAAAAAAAAAAATTTTAAAAAGTGATTTGAAATCATTTCAACCACACATTCTTCAATAAAATAATGTTACGTGCAAATTCAAAATATTTTCTTATTTTTTAACCACATATTTTTCATCATTACACTATTCGAAAATGCATTTTTAAAATAATGTGGCTCAAACAAGGGCTATATTTGCAATGATAACGCATCACAGTTAATATCATTTTGAAAAAGTATATTTTAACGAGGAACAAATAAAATTGTGCAAGACTTTTGTTTAAGGACCATATTGAATTTTAAAATATAAAAAGAAAATTGTTTATTATACCAAAAGACAGATGAAAATATTGTTTCAGAAAATCTTACGAAATAAAAGAAAATGCGAGTATTGGAACTATAGACACACTTTAGAATTAATTTATTGAAATAATGACTAAATCTGAATACAATTGACAACAACGACCTACCTTAAAAGCTATATAATTTGCATTCCGAGCATGGAACGATAATATCTTGGCCTCTGACTGACCTTAGATCATTCGAGCAAGCGAAACAGCACGCCTAGCATGTTACCAAAGTGTGGAACACCCAAAAAATTGTTGGATGTGACGAGCTACCAACTTAAAGAATGATGACACTGTGACCCCCTTTAACTAGTCAAACCACTCCATTCATTATAAATACAAGGTTGCACTCCATGCAAAAAGTACACAGATTCAGAATCCTACTCTTAAATGCTCGTTTCGTACCTGCTTATAATCGATCAAACTATTTTTTATCCACACACTTATCCGTCACTCGCTAGAATTCATACTGAGCAGCTATACTAATCAGAACTAACTAGGGCATCAAAAAAGTCTCGCTGTACTTTTCTTGTAAAGTTTGAAAAAGTCTTAGTCTTGCATAGCTAACAAGAGACAATTTTGATTTTCGAAGCTTACGAGCGATTTTTGCTAAATTTCACTGGGATTGAGAACTCGAACTTCTATATGATAAGTTGGAATCCATCCTCCCTTTCCATAGGGAAGAGAAGGTAAGAGAAAAGGAATAAGGTAGAATTAGCGATGAAATCTGTCCTTTTACTTCATCTCATGGAAAAAGATAAGCCAAGGAAAAACAAGAAGATCAAAGCTAGCTATTTTATGTCCACCTATCTAGCCTCACACCAAAAAGCTTTGATGAAAAATAGGAAAAAGAGGCAGATTGCTTTCTTATACAAACTGTAAAGAAGATTTTTAACTTCTTTTTCTTTCTCAAAATTGTCAATTGCTATGCAGTTTACCTCACAAAGTTGATGTGGGATGGTGACGTGCCTTTTCGTGATAGTGCAGCAGAAGTAGGACAACAGCAGCAACCATTATAGCAACTAACAGCAGTGGCAAAAGGGAAAACATGATTTTTTTTAGTTATGTTTACATAGTGGATTGCCAACTAGTAAGATAGTGATCCATTTACTACCAATAAGCCTTCATGAACCACATGAATAATTAGTAAAGAAAGCCACTACCTTTGCTACTATGCCTCTTGCTATTATTATATGAAGTCAATTAATTTATGCTTTGTTTTGAATGTATGCCATAATTTGCTTCATTGACTTGTATTTGATTCATGGCTGCCAATATTTGATAGAATATGCTTAAAGGTGTCAAAATGTGATGGCCTGTTCAGGCTCAGCGAAAACCCCACCTAGACGAGGTGCAACACAGAATACCTGGCCCCTAGAGCCCTACTGGCTGTAGAGACCCGCAGCTTGCGCAGAGATATATGTAGAAAAAATAAAAAAGTTAAATTCCACAGGTTTTAAACAACTTGTGCTGAGACCGTGGTCCAGTCTACATTAACTTTGCTACTATCTACCTCAATTTTCCTCCATTTGCAAGAAGGAGAAAGGCACCTTTAATAAGGCTACAATTGAACTTTTACATTTTTGGGCAAGAGAAGGCCTTTGAAACGAAGACCTTTAATAAGGCTACAATTGAACTTCATATATAGGCTCTGTTCCACTTTGACCATTAAAAAAAAAAAAAAAGGCTCTTTAGAAAAAAATCCCAATAGAATTTAAGATCTTTCTCAACTGGCGCCGAAAGATAGATGCCATTCAGTGGATAACATTACAGTGAGAATACTAGATTTAAACAGGTTAAATTCCTTTCCAACCTTTCTTGATTCAGTATACAGAAAGTGAATTCAGAATCTCAAAAATTATGTTATCTCCTAAGGCTTGTGCAAGAAGCTATACTGGTGCAAGATGCCATAATTGACCAATCATGAAGATAAAAAGAATTCACATATCCTGGGAAAAAAATGGAAGACTCCAATCAAGAAAAGGAAACAGAAAAAAATACACGCACCACAGTATAAATATTACGTGGATCATTAAGTGTTGACAATGGATTAAAGTAGAATATGCTTCACTTTAGTGGAAAACACACTCAACCAAGAAAAAGTGATGATTATGAAATTCTGTCAACTTGGCCTAATTGCATACATAATCTAAGAATAGAGAAAGGGCCTCAAAGAATAATAAATATCAGATATACAGGGTAATTTAACGCTAAATCAGCTTATTTGGCCTCATCATCCAATATCATAGTGTATTTAGACTACCTCTAATGGAAAATAAACCGTGGGAACCCTGAAACTGAAAGTAAGAATCTAGATATTAACAGTTCGGTAAAATATGAGAAACGGACATAAAAATCTAGATATTAACAGTTGGGTAAAATATGAGCAATGGACAAAATGACTGAAGCAGGAGTTTAACACTTTATTAACGTTGCTTATCTTCGTAAGTTCCATCTGGACATGCAAAATTATATATTACTTCATCTAGCATATAGTATACATAAGTTTGCCACAGCAGTAAATAACACCAGAATGTAATCACTTGACTTTTAACACAATCCAAATTTGCCATTTTGATGTACTGACCAGACTAGATGTTTCTTTCTCACTCAAGAGATCTTTCGGATTGGAATGTTCCCGTGAACTGGAATTGGAACCCTCGATTGGCAGCAACGGTGTCAACTATACAGGTACCAAGCGATGCAATTTCTCGTGGATATGTAATGAATGGATCGTCATAAGCTGAGTCGAAAACCATTGAAGCTCCATTATTTTTGTGATTCCAGTCAAGTAACATTTTTGGAGTGCCAATGGACTTCTGTATGAATGTAACCGAAGAAAAATTATCTGATGATGGAGATTTTTTATTATCCGAGGGACAATTTTTTGTGAGTTGGACTGATGTTATATCGTGGATGCTCGGTCTCCTCTTATCTTTCCCTCCTGAAAGCTGCCTTAGATAGTACTTTTGAGCATGGCTTGCAACTTGAGTAGGTGTTTTAGAGATAACAAAATTTCGCGAGATGTTCCTCCAGTCCCCTTTGCCATGCTCTTGAAGTCCCAACAGGAAACGTCTGTTTTCAACAATGGAAAGACAGAAACAAACTATAAGAACATAATATCTTTGAAAGTTTCATTTGGACACACTCTGATTGATAAATGAGAACATCGATATAGCTGAAGCCATTTTCTATTGGAAACTAAGACATTAGTGGCATGTTTAGTAGGCAGGATTAGATTGTATGCAAGAGTATCAAGGAAGAAACATAAGCTAAAATCATGGGTCTGTAGTATCTGCCCATTATTGTGTACCAAACATGCAATAGGTGTTTTGATGAATAAAAATTACTACCAGGGTGGGAAGTGAAGTTTATATCCCATTAAAACGTCTGGCACGTTTCAATGGTAATGATAGTGCATAATATCTGTAAGCGGAGATCATCATATAGAGGACAAACTGAAACACGATAGCTTCATGGCAAATTCCTGGTGTCGAATCTCTTGTACATATAACATATTGGCCTTAGTGTAATTTAATCCAACTGTTGTTACTACGAAACTACTAAGCTGCAGAAAAAGAAAGCAACGTCGTTGGATATCTTTTATGTCTTCCAAACATAGTTAAAGTCAAATATCAAAATCTAGTTAAAGAGAGCAAGCATGATTATAAGAGAACTTCACCTATGCTCCTCCTCTGTCCATGGTACACCTTTTTTTCTTTCTTGATTGTAAGACCTGCCTCTCTTCCTATACACATCAAAACTGTGATTATCGGGTAATTTCAATGTAAAAGAAGAGTTCAAGTATACAGGTACTGGGACCAAACCAGCTTCTATATCACTAATATCTGACACCAATTCTTTGTACTGGTTTATCACATCATAAACTGATTTACCAGGGATCATGGACGCCACCATAGACCATCTGTTGGGAGTATTTTCATCAAAAACTGCAAGTGCACTCTCAAATTTCTTGTTTTCTTCTTTTGTCCATACCGTGGTTTTCCTCTGTTGCATCAACAAACCCGAATTCGATGCGAATGAAGCTTGAAACAAGGTCTCCATGTGTAAAATTTCCGAAACCAGGGCCAATTTTCGGCCCGAGGAAACCTTTGCAATCCTCTTTTTCAGTGATTAAACCCTCAATATAGATATAGTTTGACAGTTCAATAACCTGGGATTCTTACCACGAGCATTGAAAATGATGGGACTCGAGATAAATGGAGCGTGCAGAAAGAAGTTGGAATTTTACAATGATCCGAAAAGCATTGAAATCAGAATCATTTACTGGGAATCAGAATACTGCTTTTTCCTCACAGCACCAATTGAAGAATCTTGAAAGAAAAAAAAGATTTACCTTTTCAGAATCTTGGAAAAATATCAGAGGATACAAAAGCACGGAAATATATAAGCAGAACCCACATCAAGATTTTCAATTTAGGAAGGAAACAACGCAGAAGTTTCACGAGATTCCCATTTTGAGTTGAGAATTTTGTTTCACTACTCAAGTGTTGAACTTGAGAAAAAGCAGGAATATTCTACGTTTCTTGATTAATTTTGAGGAAATTACAGAAATAATTTGGCAAATGAAAATGATAAAGAATTGAAGCTCTCACATGTAGTAGTAATACTAATAGTCATGGCTATGGATGAAACCAAAGGATTGTAGAAATAGAAAGAGAAAAGGAGACATTAAAGAATATTTGGAGGTACTGATAATTAGCGCAAAGAGATGAAGTTTTGAAGGTCGATTTATATTGTTGTTTGATTAAGGTTTTGGTCAGCAAATGCCTTAATCATTAAAAAAATTGCTGTCTTAATGCTATACATAGTATATATTTTCTTAGAATTGTATGCCATACGGTAAAACAAAATTGTAAGTTCGTTAACACTTAAAATTAATAGAAATTACAAAATAAGTGAAAAGTCAAAAATAGAATATACTAAGAATATTTACTACGTGATTTGATACTTCACTCAAAACACATTTCTTAAAATTGCATTTAGTACGATGTTTATTGATTATAAATATAACTTTCAATAGAGTTTAGTCTACTTGCTTATTTATATTTCCTAAGTTACTTAACTAGATCACTAATCTTGTATATTGTTGACTAGTCGTAACAATACAATTTATAATTTTACTTCAATTCTAAACATCGAATAGCATCATCTATAACCACGCATGTAAGTATCTTTGTATGTGACTCGATTACTCGTGAAACAGTAGATCGATCATTGAGAATGTTCCTCTCAGCATGAGCAAACATTTTCGAAATGGGTTAAGAATGAGCACTTGATTATTTGATCTGTATTTTTCGTCACAATTTGTGAGTTAAACAAGATAATTTTGTGACCTAGCATGTGTAATTGTGACCTAACAATGAAATCATGAAACGTACACATCATTTGTCAAAGAAAAAAAAAAAAATATATATATATATATACACACACACACACACCATCGAAATATAATTTAGGTCACGAGTTCATGAGTTCTATTAATTTTGATGATAAAGGCTATGACTGGATATAAACTTTTTTACATCATTTCTTTGGGAGATTTGTTAATACTTGCGATTAAATCTTCTTAACAGAAAATATGAGTAATTGAATAGATTGATAACTTGAAACCAAATCATAAATTGAGAACTGATATTTTCCCACATGAACAAATAAAATATTATCAATAAAAAATTGAAAATAATCTTAGGGTCCGTTTGATTGTAAAAATGGAATTGAGATGAAAAAAACGAATTCCAATGAATTGAATTGCCTATAACTTGTTTTACCGAAAATTGTCAATTAAATATGTTTGATTGATATAATTTTTATGAAAAATGTTGAAATTTGGGATTTTTTGGTGTTCATTTAACTTTGTTAATTGTCAATTAAAAAGATAGAATTTCATACAATTGTGGATAGAATTTGTTTCATTATCCAAAAAAAAATAGAAATAAAAAGCTGAAAAACTAATTTCTCATCAAATCTATGAAAATTGGTTTTCCACAAAATCAAGGAAAAAGGGTCACGTGGGGGGGGGGGGGGGGGGGGTCTATTGAGTTGAAAATTCGTAGGGAATTATTCATAGAAATCATACAGGTGCATTTAAAGTCATTGTTGTTTTAAAAACCAATGAAAAATCATCAAACGTTCTTTGTAAAAATTTAGTCAAACAATTTCTGTATCTATAACATAACTGATTTTTGTCGTCTTTCTTGATACTTTGGGGCTATATCGAGGGCACAATTCCCAAGGAATTTTCACTATTATAAAAAGTTCTTGATTTTTTTTTTAATATCCAAGTATCCCAGTTTACACTAGACTAAATCTTGGACCCCCAAGACCCTTGCCCCTAGAACCTTGGAGGGGGTAAATCGCGGGTTATGTCTCAACTGGATCACAGGTTCCCCCATTACCTGTACACTTCTGCGCACAAGAAACCCTCCTCCACAGTGATTGCTCCATACCAAATATTTGGCCGCAGGTTTCCACCAGGAATCGAACTCTACACCCTGCCGCTGAAAATAAGATAATGTTGATTGATCCACCAATTGAGCTGTGCCCCGAGGGACACTTCTGGGACTACTTTTGTTACGATGGAAAGAGGAGAAGGGGAAAGGCGTAAAGATACATAAAAAGTATAGTCTAAAGTTCAATCATTCACATTTTTTATTTAAAAAGGCCAAAGGAGAACATAAAAATTTATTTATTTATATCTATCATTGGTTCTTCTTTTTATCATAGTATTCACAAAAACGATATTTGCCCTTTTTGTCTTCTATATTGTGTTGAATAATCTCCTTATACTGACAAGGGATCAAACTGTATCATGAAAATTGATCACAATTATAGGTAGTTCATTGCTATAGCACACATTCGATGCAATAACAATCTCTACTAATTTTTAGATGTTATTATTGAATTTATTTAGTTGTGTATTTTCTTCGATACTTGAATATACAAATATTCATTTTTAAACCCTTGTTTGATCCCCCATTATTTTCAAAATTTATTTTTCTCTCCTTCTTCTTCTTTTTTTTTATCAAATTTCAACCACATGTTTTTTATTAAAACAATATTATGTGCAAACTAAAATTTTTTCTTTTTTTTTAACCACATATTTTATATCAATGAACTATTTTAAAATGCATTTTTAGCCAAAAACGGGGTTCAAACAAGTAGGAAAAAAATTAAGTATAAATGAAAAGAGAGAACTTTTTGCTTACATTTTTATACAAAGACAAAATAATAAACAAACCCTAAAGTGGCTAAAGGGCCTGCTTGGGAATTTTGGGTACCGATTATGAGCATTTAAAATATTGATTTTGAGTGTTTATGGTCGTACCGATTTTAAGTGATTTTAAAAACAATCCAATCCTTTTTCGAAAAATTTTTAGGCTAAATATATTCACATCACATTTTTTATTTTTTTCTATAAATGCAACACATTTTAATTGCATAAAATGTTCGCAACCTTTAGTCATTATTACACTTATGTCCCCAATTTTTTTCCATTGTATTCTTGTTTTGAGTCTTTCATTAATTAGTAAATTTTGTCTTTGATAATGTTTTCTATTAAACATTTTGTTAAGAAGAAATAAAAAAAAATTTACATCTCGTGTATTTAATAAGCAAAAAAAAATCAAATTTATGATTAAATACTTGTCCATTGTTTTGAAGCACAATAACAAATTTTTCGGATGATACCGGTCATTAAGGATAATATTTGCTAATTGATGAGAGGTTAAAAATAAGAAAGTTATGAAGATAATTGCAACAATGAATAAATATTAGGGCCCAATAATACAATTAAAATGTGGTGTATTTATAAGAAAATGTGGTGCAAATATATATCGGTTCTAAAAGTTTTTTAAAATAATAAAATTGCATATATGTCCCTTAGTAAAATTTTCAATTTATAATTCTTTGTAAATATTTTTTGCTCATAAGTGATACTTTATTTATAGGTAATTCTTTTACATATAAGTTAATATTTAACTTAATAGGTTAAATAACGTTGAATATGTGCATAAATTTTTAGGTTAATATTTTTTATTTATAAATAAACTTTACAATTATAAGTTAATTTTGTACTTTTAAATAATTTTTACACATAAATTAACTTAAAAGTAACTTTTTATATTTTATAAATGAATTTTTGCCTTATTTTAATAGTGATCTGTAAAACAATTCAATTTATGTTTGGAATTTTATTATCCAAAAGGATAAAATCATATATATCTCCCTTAGTAAGATTTTCAGTATATAGTTTCTAGTATAAAATTTTTTTACATAAGTGATTTTTTTTTTACTTATAAGTGACTTTTATATTTTATAAGTGAATTTTTGTCTTATTGGTAATATTTTTACGTTATAAATTTATAAACAAATTTTTACACAAGTAATTTTTTTTATCTTATATGTAATTAAATTTTTTTGTTTATAAATAAATTTTTTTGTTACTATATTTTTATTTACAAGTTAATTTAAAATAAAATATATTGGTTGAAAATAATTATTTTATAAATAGTAAACTTAGAAGAGAATAAGAGAAATCATCAGAATCTGTCGAATTGGTGAATTGAGAGAGTCGGTTAAAATACACTACATCGATTTTGGGTTATTTTTACACCATTCAAAATAGTGCTAAAAAAATTAGCAAGCATCGATTTTTTTAATCTCTAATGAACGGTGTCACCAAAAATTGATTAAAATTGGTGAAAAAGAAATGTCAAGGAGGCCCTAAGTTTTTGGCGTATTGCATAACGGACAAGAAAGTTGAAATCTGGGGAAAAAGAAAAAGCCAAGCCGCAAAAAGTTTGCGGCTTGTTTGTTTTTGATTATTTTAATAAGTAATAGTTAAATTTAATCAAAACATAATCAATTATAAGTTTGCGACTTGTTTGCGTTTTCATTATTTTTATAATTAATAATTGAAATTAATCAAAACATTTTTTTTTTTAATCAAACTCTCCAGTCATGCATCGATACGGGTGCAGCCTGTTTTCAATTCTGTATTTCACCCTGTTTCTGTAGCAAAACTTTTTTCAAAGTACTAATCAAATATAGTATGAATGAGGGGATCGATGAAAGGTGAATTGAGAAGATATTTTTCTTAACAAAAGTTGAAATAGTATGTGCTCTTTTCAATCAAAATTTGTAATTATATTTAATTAATATTTAGTCTATTGTATACCGTGTTAAAATTTGTCATTATATACAACTGATGATTTTCAATCCGAGTTACATTGAATTAAATAAAATAATTGTCAAACATTTCTTTTTCAACCCTTTATTAACTAGGAAAAGGAAAATTGGAAAAATCAGATATATATTTTATATTCTATATAAATAATCTGCCATCAGTGTCTGTTTTCTAACCAGAAAGTCGTAGGTTCGACCCCTACCTGTGCGATTTATCTTTCTTAAGTAATTTGTTTTGCTTTCTGATTTTTTAATGTCTATCAACATTGTCGAATGAGACCAGATTGGCCAGCTGAATCTGAAAAAACTGGATTCGGACATCAAATTCAAATAGTGTAACTGCAAATTGATTATTATCACTTTTTGTAAAAACTCGTGTAATAAATACTACTCACGATCTTTGAGACAGTCTGCTAATCTTGATTTTCCTTTGACATATACATTCGCAATGCAATCTCAACTTGTTCGTCGGGTGGGTTGTATAATTTTAACGAAGTAAAAAGTTTGTTCATAGTACTTCGAGTACTGTAATACCAAACAAGCACTTCAGGGTAAACTATAATGAAGAAATAAGAAAGAAGCTAATAAACAAGCAAGCAACATTTGCCTGGATTATCAGTCCTGAATCTTGTTGCAGTCCAGCCACCAGTTGGTACACTTAAAAAAGAGTGTTCCTCTTTTACCAGGATTAACAAGATTGAAATTTTTCGGATTATTCTTAGGATTGTAATTTCCTATGCCTTTCCCCCACCGCGTGCAAATGTGTTGGATGGCTCTCCGTTGCTATAAACGAGTTGCCTTGGATCACTATCTGAGTGTCAATCTTCAACGGGACTTTGGACTTTGGTGAGGTTAGTTTTGGAATCGAGGCTTCGAAGGGAGTCCATGAAGGAAGTTACTTTCGTTGCATTCTGTGACGGCATTGCAGTGAGGGGCGTCGCAGCAAATGGTGGCTTTGTAGCACAAGAGACCAGTTGCAATTTGGTTATCAGTGGCTACTATGGTGTCCATAAAAGGCGAAATGGCTATTAGATACTTGACATGGCCTAGACTCCTTTGGGAGGCAACAGTGGGAAATTTTTCGCAATGGGCGAAAGCCTGATGAAGCAATGCCGCGTGGAGGTAAAAGGCCCACAGTCAGCTTTAAAATCGTCCACCCCTCACCCTCCCCCAAGTATACACTTCAACGTGAATCACACAATAATAGATTAGAAACCTCTGCTAAAGAGGACATTTGTAGTTTGGCCTGGACCTACGAAAATTGTGTTGAGTTTCGAAGGGCTTTGTGTACGTAACATCAACCTCAACAATTGTTAGATCGTGCCCTGCAATTCTGAAGAAGAGTTCGTCATTAATTGCTGCATTAGCCATGCGCAGCAGGTAGATCTTGCCCGTTTCCAGGTGCAGAGTGTAACCTGTAACAGCAACAACAAATTAAAACTTTTCCCGTACACGTTCATTTTGGTCACCATGTTCTGTCTCAATGCTGGATCCATTGGCCCATCATAGAACAAATAAAGAATCAAATAATCGGGAAAAAAAAGGTCAAGTATTATAAACAGAACTTGTGAAAAAGAAATGCAAAGTTAGATCCGCCAAGAAATTGATAATTTACGGGTTATCGTGCAAGGTAAAACATGTAAGCAATTAACTTTAGGAGAGAATAATCCCAATATCAACTGGACCAAATGAAGCCACACTCGCTGCAAGGAGAATTGGTTCCAGAATTGATTGCATGGTTTTTTATACAAAAATATTTCAGGTTTCTTTCACAGTTAATGTCACCCCTGCAAGTAAAACTATCCTATAGTCCGTTTTTGTATTGGGGAAGTTCGAATTCTACTTGCTCTTTTTAGTTTCTTCAGCGTATTTTTTTATTAGGTCCTCGACATCTTTCCAGAACAAACCCTCCACCAGAACTCCTTCCTTGGTGAACCTGAAATACAAGCAAAAGAGAGGACGTAAATTTGCTTATATACCATAAGCTGAATATTAATTTAAGTGGGAAGAATAAGCAAGAAGGTTATTTTCCTGGGGTTCGGAAGGAGAGAGATTACCACTGAGTGACGCTTTTAGTAAATTCAACTGGTGGTTTTGCAGATATTGATTCAGGATCTGCACTTGCTATTATAAGTGTATACTTGTCTGAGAATCTCGGCAACTTAGAAGTAATGACTAAGCCGGTAGTGTGGAAAGATCCCTGTTGGAAGAATGTCATAGCTGTTTCAGTTTCTGTATAATCAGATGCCGTGTACAATGCTCATAGCAAGGTCAAACATTCTCTAAAAGTAGCAGACATAAAATGAACAATGTAACAGGAATCTATGCAAGACTCCACCCAGTCATGGTGAAAGTGGGTAAAATTAGTCAGTGCTACTTCATTTTCACAACATCTTACATTTTGAAATAATGTTCATATAACCATCATTTGATATGCAAGGGTGAGAGACAGTCCCACTTGAACACGTTAGAAAGGGAAGAATCAAACCAAAATTGGAACCGTTTGATGGAGAAAAAGGATCATGAAGCAACCACAAATTTATTGAGAATAAGACTTAGTTGTGCTAAATCCTTCATTCAATGTCATTAGACCAATTTTAAAACCAAACAAAATGAACAAAATACATCCCTCCCCGCAACCCACCAAAAAAACATAATATATATAAAAAGATCTTACTTGTGCTCAAACATTCAAAAATATTATTTTCAGAATATTTGATAACTTTTATTTCAATGATTTTGACACTTGTGAAAGTTATCATAAACTTCATTTTACCCTCAAAGATATTTCAATCATTAATATTATTAATAAAAAATTTCGTCAAATAATTGAATGGGATTTATTTCCTCAATATATATTGATTCAAAAAAAATATTTCTCCTCTTAATAGCTCTCCCAGAAGAGTTATTAATCATCTTTTTGAATTCAAAATCAAGACTCTCAAAATTGAATTTTCAACCATTCTTCTTGAATGGATTGCTGAAAGAGAAAAATTCAATGATACTATTTTTACTGAAGAGTATTTTTCAGCTAAATAAATTGTTACTATCTAGAGAACTTTGTCTGGGAATCTTCCAATGCCAGATTCAAATATCTCATCAAAATTTTATAGTCCTGAAGAAAACGATATTATTATAAAAAATCATATAAAAGAAATTCTTACAAAAATTAGATCAAAATCTATTCTTACTGCAAAGAACAAGCTTGATGAAGACATTGACAATTCATTATTGCAGTTGATGAACATTATGTCATTTTTCCTGGCGAAGAAAAATGGACTCAAACTCAAGTTCCTTTAATAAGAAAAATATTTGATGATGAAATTTCAAAAAGATGTTCCAATAGCATGAGACAATTTAAAGTTGATTGAAGACTTTTTCAAATAGGCAGTGCAAAAATTTCTAAAGAAGCAATATTCAAGATTTCTTATCCACATTGAAGAAATTTTCAAATCCAAAGCTCAAGATTTCAAGTATAAAAGCAGATCAAGTATTCAAGATCTCCTCAAAGTTAATTGAGTGCAGTTCTCATTAGAGTTAATTTAGCTCTCAAAAGAAAGTTGACTTAGCGGGAGATAAATCGTTCTCAAGATAGTTTGAGAAAAATTTGTATCCTTTCACTATCTTTATTTCAATCTTGTAATTCAAAGTTCCATTTCAATGTTGTTTTCTCATTTTCAAATATAAATACAATTATCTTCATTTCAACATTTGTCTATTTCCACTTTTACTCTTCTCTACCCCCAGGCCCATTTTGTTATCAGAGCCATAAGAGAGTGAGGAGAGGTTGTAGTATTTATTCATTGTAGGCACTGTTCAAATAGGAGAACCTGATTTGTTTTCGGAATGTCTGCTGAATAAATGTTGGTCGGCCCATTATTAGCCGACGAAGGCATGTTAGGGTGATCCCGTTTCTAGGCTTGGTAAGAATCAGTCGAGATCTTATTTAACTGTTTTTACAGTGGTGAATTATTATAATTTCATTTTATTTAATTATATCCTCTATTTCAAATAGGTTTCAGAGGTCTAAAAATATTTCTGAAAATATTTCAAATGTTTTTCAAAATGAAGAAGAAATTGATCAAACATCTACATTTTCATCATCAAATAATTTCAATAGTCATTAACTTCAAATTGCTCAAATAAAACAAAAATTGTCTAACTAGTAGACTATTCCAAAGGTAGAAAAAGCTCTCTATCTATGAAATTGAAATGTTTGATTTTACTAAAAATTATGTTATCAAAACTTTTGAACAAACATTATCTATCAAAAATCAAAATGCACAAATCATTTTATTTTCAAAAGAATCAATTGAATCTCACAGGAAGAAATTTAAATATCTTCATGTTGGATTAGTTCAAATTGTTGTCAAACATTTGTTTAGACTTGGTTATACATTCCTATTCTCTTAACTCTTCGAGATAAGAGACTTCTCAAATTTGAAAATTCATTATTATCCGTTCTAAAGTCAAATCTAGAAAGCAGTCCAATATATTCAAATTGTTATCCCAATTTTTCAATCAATCTCAATAAAGGAGTTATTCTTAATACTCTAAATTTTCATATTCAAACGAAAAATCTCGATTTCGATGATTGTTCAAATGCTTTTGCTATAAATTTCACTCCAAATATTCCAAAACCTCAATACACAGAGAAAGAAGAAGAATCAAAACAACCTAATTCTCCGACTTTATTTGATATATTTTCTTTTCAAAATGAAAGACTTTATTATCAAACTAATGTTATTTCTTTTACAATTGAAAGAAGAAAAGAATTCAAAACTAATCAAACTCCTGATGTTAAAAGTTTTGAAAAGATATTTCATCAAAGTTTTTCAAAAAATAGAGAATTTTATTGAGAAGAATTCTTTGAATTCCCAGAAGATTTAAGTTTTTATGAGTTGGCTTATTTCAAAGTTTTTAACAAAGTAAGATTTGCAAAGAAATAAAAGACTTTTTCAAAGAAAGAAAACTATTAAAACTACAAATATTCCAAAAAAGACTTGGAAAACTCGTTCTGGAAAAAATATTCAATCTTCTCATCCTCTTTTGCAAAAGATTGTATTTCCACATGGAACCTTTCAAAAAGATATATGAAGAAGGACCTGATGAATCTCAAGTTGTTGTTAAAGATATCAAAAATGTCCAAGCTCAAAATAATTACAATAATGGTTCTTCAATTTGTATGTCCTCAACTAAATAGAATTGAAATAAATTCTGAAACTGAGACATCATCTTCCTCAGAAGGAACTAAGTTAATAGAGCCAGTTTTAATAAACATGCATGAGCTTAAACCAAAAAATGATCTCAAAACTGAGATAAATGTTCTAAAAGAACTTGCAACTTAGTTATTAAAAATATCATCTTCTACTTCAAATAACATCAATACTATTGACGATATTCAATTTCAATTTATTGATGATGAAATTTCTCAATTAAATAAACTTCAAGTTAAAAAAGTTCAATTTTCTAAAATTCCTCCATATTATCCAAAAAATACTCCTCCTGATTTACCTTTTGAACAAAAGGCTTAAATGCCTACAACCTTCTTTGGAAGCAGTATATAACTGTCTGGAATATAGATAGTTTAACCGGATATCAAATTTTTGAAATTCTTGAAAGTATGTTCTTGTTATAATGCCTATATTTAAGGATTTTCTGCAATTGAAACAACAAATAATATTATTCAAGGTTTTGCTAGTCAAATTAATAATTGGTGGTTCAATTAAATTTCTAAACAAGAAAAAATTTAAATTGGTCAAACTATCAAACCTGATGGTACAAATGATAATTTTAATACAATAGTTTATTGTATTATCAAATATTTTGTTGGATCTCCAACGGACGTTTTAGAAAAAGTTTCAAATATCTTATTAACTTTAAGTTGCTCAAGTGTACAAGATTTTCGTTGGTACAAAGATATGTCTTTAGCACGTGTGTTTTTGCGAAAAAATTGTAATCAACTTTCTTATGGAGAATTGATTTATTTCATTAACAGAGAAAGATTAGCACTTTGTAATGAACTCAAATTTAAATCCAAATTGCAAACAGAAAGATTAAATAGTCGAAAAAATTTTGGATCATTCTATAAACAATATGAATTTGAAAAAATAATTCCTCCATAAAAAATAAAAAGAAAAAATTTTTCAAAAAGAAAATTTTATTCAAAAGAAAAGAATTTTCAAAAACCCTCTTATTCAAAAATCTATTCTAAAAAGAAATTTCAAAAGAAAAGATTTTCAAGAAAAAGTAAATGTTACTTGTTGGAAATGTCAGAATTCGGGGTATTATTCTAATAAGTGTCCTCTCAAATGAAAAATTAATAATCTTCAAATTGACGAAAGATATTAAACTTCAACACATCAATCTTATTGATTCAAATTACAGTTTTGATAATGAGTCCAATTCGGAGTTAGAACATGTTTATCAACATCAAGAAGATTCTAATGCTGAATCTAGTTCAAATTCTCAATCATTTTCAAGTCAAAGTAAAGAACTTTGTGGTTGTAAAAATATAAATGTTCTTACTAAACAAGAAAAATTTATTAAAGAGATAGTTGATCAAATTGAAGATCCACAATTTAAAAATAAGTTTTAATTCCCTTCTTCCTTCAAAATCAAAAGGCTGAACCTGTCAATATGCAAAATATTTGAAATCGTTTTGAAACTTCAAAATCATCTAACTCTGATTTAAAATCAGAAGTCAATTCTATGAAATATCAAAATTTTATTCTTGAACGTCAAATGAAAGATGTTAGAATGGAAGTCTCTTCTCAAAAATCAAAATAAGAAACAAAAGTAAAAAACTCCTTATTTATCCTCTTCTAGTTCTTCTGACAAAGAATTAAATCCTCTGATTCCTTCAATTATTCAATCTGAAGAAGAAATAATTAATCATATTCAACTTCAAAAATGGAACTGCAATATGACTATTGTAGTCAACAAAGAATTTAAATTTACATCTAGAGTTTTTATTGATTCTAGAGCTGATCAAAATTGTATCCGTGAAGGATTGATAATTAAAAAATATTTTGAAAAAATTACTGAGCGTTTTTATGGTTCTAATGGTAAGAAACTCAATATTCAATATATGCTTTCAAAAGCTCATGTTCTACTTCCAAATGCTTTTTGGGATCGTAAGAAACATGTGGTATCTCTTCCATACAATTCTAATTTTCATGAATCAAATATTCCCAATCTCGTCTTATTCAAATGAACAAAGAATTATTAGACTTTTATATCAAGAAAATCAATTATTTACTTGACAAAGGTTTAATTCGTCCGAGCAAATTTCCTTGGAGTTGCTCAGCTTTCTATGTCAATAATTCGGTTGAAATTGAACGAGGTGCCCTACGTCTTGTTATCAATTATAAGCCTTTCAATACTGCTCTTCAATGGATTCGATATCCACTTCCTCAAAAAAATATCTTTTGAATAGACCAGTCAAGGCTAATATCTTTTACTAGATGGCAAACTATTTTGTCTTGTTTTGATTTCAAAATATTATATATACAAGGAAAATCAAACTATCTTGTAGATTTCCTCACAAGAAAATTCATACATTCTGGAGAGAAATGGACTTCTCAAAAGTAGAAAGAAAAAAGATGAAGAAAGTTAATATTCATCTTCTTTCAATTGAAAATTACATTTCAAATTACCATGCATCTTCTTCCTCTCAAAACACGACTTTTGGTTCAAAATTAATTCCTCATCAAAGTGATATCAATAAGTCAAATGTTACCAATTCCAAAAAAGTTGTTCAAACAGGTAATGAAAAATTTCCATAAATCAACCCCTCAAACACTTTCAAATACTTTACCAAAAATGTTTAATATCCAATTCTTGAAATGGAAAATTCTTGGAACCAAAAATATTCTTCTCTTGAAGGATGTCTTTTGGATATTTTTTTTCCTAACTTCCATTACCTACCAAATAACATAAAAAAGAATCATGAGTATTAAGAGGTTATTCTGACAAAAACCAAATTAGTCAATATTACTCACACTCCAAAAGATTCTCAAGATCCAGATTTTTCAAAAATTTCAATTCTTAAGGTTTGGTCTTATGAAGTCTGGGAAGAAAAACCATGGGAAGAAAAACATATAAATTTACCTAATGGTAAATTTGAACGTTTCAATTATCTTGATTACAAGACTGCGTGGTTTACTGTTTTCTTTATTAGACTAGTAGCTCATTCCTGGTTTATATTGTTTCATAAACTTGTAATCCTATTTTTCCAAAATGGTTTCAAATATGGTTTATTTTGCCCAGTTTCACTCGTCAAAGTTATGAATACTTCAAAAGAGATGCAAAATCTTTTTTGCAGCCTCAAGAAAATCCTTTAATTCAATTTGCATAAAATTTCAAAGTATCTTTGATATTCTGTTGGGACTTCTTGCTTGCCCAAGCTGAACAAGACTACCTTATCAAAAAGATTGTCAGAATATTCAAAATAAAATGGTGGTCAAAATTTCATGAAATAAATTGTTGTTCCAAGACAATAAATTCATAGATTCGAAAATAAAGAAATTTGAGAATATCAAAATTCTCAAAGAAAGATCAACAAAAACAAGATGATTTTCTAATTGAAAAATCTAGATTATTAGCCATGTTCTCTCAATGTAAAACTCCAGGAAAATTAACGACAGTTTCAGAAAAGATTGCTAATCTTGCTGAAGTTTCCTCAAAAAGAACTCAATTAGATGCTTATTCAAATTACTCTCAAAGGTTGATAATGGTGATGACTGCTATGAGATTGATATTGATGATCTCTTAGCTCAAGAAGACCAAAAATGATTATATGGACCCAACTATTTGGATGAATTATATTCATATAAGGCCCAAAAATCAAAAGATATTATGTTCAAAATATGTCTACCGTCCAATAAATTATTTCTACCAACTTTACCAATCTTCAAGAAATAAAAGTTGGATTAATAATTCAAATGGTGGTTTCAATCAAAGAAGAAAATTCAAAAAGAGATGTCAACTTTTCAATTTTTCAAAAGGAATAAAGGATGTTCCAAAAACAGGAAATAAAGAAAAATTGATTGAAGACTTTTTCAAATGAACAGTGCAAAAGTTTCAAAAGAAACAATATTTAAAATTCCTTATCCAAATTGAAGAAATTTTCAAGTCCGAAGTTCAAGATTTCAAATATAAAAACAGATCAAGTATTCAAGATCTCCTCAAAGTTTATTGAGTGCAGTTCTCACTACAATTAAAGATAGTTGATTTAGCGGGAGATAAATCATTCTCAAGATAGTTTGAGAAAAATTTGTATTATTTTACTATCTTTAATTCAATCTTCTAATTCAAAGTTCCATTTCAACCTTGTATTCTCATTTTCAAATATCAATAAAATTATCTTCATTTCAACATTTATCTATTTCCACTTTTACTCTTTTCTACCCCTTGAGCCCATTTTGGTATCAGGGCCATAAGAGAGTAAGGTGAGATTGTAGTGATTTATTCACTGTACGCATTATTCAAATAGGAGAACCTGATTTGATTCCGAGATGTCAGCTGAATAGACGTTGGTCAGCCCGTTGTTAGCAGGGGAAGGCATGTTAAGGTGGTCCTATTTGTAGGCTAAGTAAGAGTCAGTCTATCTTATTTAACTGTTTTTACAGTGGTGAATTATTATAATTTCATTGCTTTTTTTGAGGCTTTTACACCATCCATTTGAAAAAGTCTTCAATTAACTTTTCTTTGTTTCCTATTTTTGAAACATCCTTTTGAAAAATTGAAAAGTTGACATCTCTTTTTGAATTTTTCTTTTTTGATTGAAATCACCTTTTGAATTATTAATCCAACTTTTATTTCTTGAAAATTGGTAAAGTTGGTAGAAATAATTTATTAGGCAGTAGACATATTTTGAACATAATATCTTTTGATTTTTGGGCCCTATATGAATATAAATCATCCAAATAGCTAGGTTCATATATTCATTTTTGGTTTTCTTATGCTAAGAGATCATCAATATCAATCCCATAACAGTCATCACCATTATCTGTACTTTATGAGTAATTTGAATAAGCATCTGATTGAAATTCAGGAGCATTTTTTAGACCAAATGGCATAACATTCGATTCATATTGATCAAAAGGAATATTGAAAGCAGTTTTGTAGTTATCTTCTTCTTTAATTTGAATTTGCCAGAAGCCTAACTTCATATCAAATTTTGAGAAGATAACAGCCTTGAATAATCTATTCAAAAGATCTTTCTTTTGAGAAAATGGATATCAAATCCATTGAATTGATAACAAGACGCAGAACACCTCGTTCAATTTCCACTGAATTATTGACATAGAAAACTGAGCAACTCTAAGGAGATTTGCTTGAACGAATTAAACATTTGTCAAATAAATCATTGATTTCCTTGATACAAAAGTCTAACAATTTTTTGTTCATTTGAATAGAACGAGATTTAGTAGGAATATTTGATTCATGAAAATCAGAATTGAATGGAAGAGATACCACATGTTTCTTACGATTCCAAAAAGCATTTGGAATATTAAATCAAATCTATATATATATATATCAGCCTTCATCAGCAACAACTATTCTTATGTTTAAGTAATTTCAAGACTCAAAAACAATTAGAAATTAGGAGAAGCAAGAGAACAACTATGCTGTAGTAAAACTATCAAAGTGCTTTCTTTTAGTCTCTCTTCCAATGTGCTCAAAATGACACAAACCATAAAACTCAGTATAAGATCATTCAGGGTTAATAATCAGCAGCTCGGAGAAACAAGGGAACGCTTGTGCCACAGTAAATCCTCAAAGCATCAGCAATTTTAATCAAAATTTATGCTTTCTTTTAACATCTATTTTAGTGCACTCGACATGATGCAAACAAGAAATGAACAATCAGCCCACTAATCACATAAATCTGAACAAGATCATCATCCAAAATATACCAGGCAGCTCTAACTATGGAAGTGGCCTATCAATCACGGAACTTTCATTTTTTTTTTTTTTCCACCCTGATTCTCAAAAAGCTTTCAGCAGAGATTGAAGGCCAGAAGAATAGATGCAGAGATGTGCTGCTGTTGGGAGTTTCCATTTACAAAGAACTGCATGGACATTTGGGTCATTTCAAATGTTTCATTTTTATTTCACTTGTACCTTTTTTTTTGCTTTCCCTTAAGACAGTTGTTAAAATAGGAGCATTTTGATTGTAACTGCTGTAGTTCTGTACTTAACTTCGATTTAACAAAATTGCAGCAGCATTTTGGATGCATTCTTCTGAAATTAAAATAGAATTCTGCTGAGGCGCGAAGCTTTCAGCTTGTCTGTTTCAATTCTTTATATTTCTTAGGGAATTAAAATGAGAAGTAGAACAGACAATTAGAGGAAGGTTGATACTAATTTGGTTACAAAAGTTCAGTTACATTTCAAGAATATAAGAAGGGAGTCATTAACAAGGGTAAAAGGGGTGAAATAGCAATTGTCTAGTCCACCCATTCCATTAAATCACTAGTGCAGCATGTTCCAAAGAAATACATTAATGATAGTTCTAATGCAGTGTTTTCTGGGCTCTGAAATAGGACTTGCGCAAATAACTTATTTTTTTATATCAGATCTAATCAAAATTGAAAAGTTAATTTTAGCATAGTTTATACTGCACAGCCAATGCAATATAAGGAATCATTTATGACCATCTCAAGATTCTTGTCAAGAATCTAAAATTGGGATACCATGTCAACTTCAATCATTTCATTCGGAGAAAAAACTAATAGATGGTGTTTATTTGCATAAACTTTCAAGTAAAAAGGCAATGAACAAAAAAATAAATCCAAACTTTAATGCTAATATGTGACTCTAATTCCATGTAAACAAGACAAAAACAAAACAAAAATACTTCTGGGAAATTGTGTATCAAAAAAACACTTGAGTTAGCTATGAATATCACAAATAAAGAACAGATGCAATAGTCAAACAAATAGAACAATAAAATTTAACTCCATGACATTCCAATATGCAAACAACCAAGTACTCAACTAACAGAATCAATGAAAAATGTCTTGCACATAGACGTATGATCATCAATATATTCCGATGTGTCACTGTAAATCAATGGTATACAAGTAAAGAACAATACAGAAACATTTGTATGCCTCATCCAAGCAATTCATAGGAAAGAAGAATAATGACTTACAGTTGGAGGGTAGGTGAATAGAATTGCGTTCTTTTCCTTGATGTATATAATCAGCTGCAATATCCCATTGAATACAATATACGTGCTACTGTCAAAGATTAAACAAACAACATAGTCTGCACAAAATCGTTTCAAACAAGATCCTCATAATATGAAGAATAGAAATAAATTTTGACAGAGCATGTTTGGGTTGAGTGATAGACATAGTGATTCCATAGAAGGAACAAGATATTTATACTAACAAAAAGCAACAGTTCGATGTATGAAAAACAAAAAAAGAGAAGGCAAGAATCCAATTTGTTTGGTCTAAGCTCAAAACACTTGATTCAATAACATTATCTTGATATAGCTACTTCCAAACAGGCCCATATTAAGTAAAAATAAACCCCAAAATGCTAAAAAAAAAAATGAATAAACTAATCCTTTTATTTTAAAAGTATCTGATCATTTCTAAAATTTAAAACACCATTGAATCGTGCTTTCAGATATTCGATTCTAAATTTCAATTTTCCTTGTTCTTCAAGAAAAATAAAGATGCAAGATGAAACAGTTTACAAGGCAAATCTTTACCTTTGCACACACAATAAATCATAACAAAATGTAAATAAATTAAACAGAATTCAAATTTCCATTGCTGCATTCCATTTCGAATCTAAAGTCAAATTTCAAAATCAGGTCACGAAGAAGGATATAAGATAATGCATCCAATAAGGAAATTCCGGTTCTCGGGAAACTTCTTGTTGTAGAATTGCGCAAAAAGTGCAATAATAATGATGATCGTCCCAATCAACAACCGAATGTTACTCAACCTAACATCTTCAGGATACCCCTTGCTCTTCACGATCTGACAACATTAAAACCCACCAATCAATAAATCAAAACATAAAAACTCCAAAAATCAATTAATCATAAATTGAAAGAGAAAGACACATACACGTATATGTATCTATATAAAAATGGTGTGTGGCGTAGGTACTGACTGACCTCAGTGACAGATTCATCGAGGATGTGTTTGATCGAATGGTGATCCAAAAGATTTGCCTTTTTAGGGTTTTTATTAGAAGCAATTTCACCCTTCTTCGCCTCCATTTTTCTCTCGCACCTATAGGGTTTTTGAATGAAAAATGGGCAGTCTTGTTTAACTGATAAGTGGAGTAACTACAGAAGGGAGGAGAGGTTATGACTCGGAGGAAGACTCCGTTGGTGGAGTCCGTGGAGTTAGGGTCAACGCGGTTGATTTTGGACGGTTTGCGCTCAATTTCAACTCAAACCATTTTATGCGTTTTTAAATTTTTTCAAATCAAATCAAATTATTTTATTTTTCAAACAAAACCAAACCAAATCAAATCATTATTTACGGTTCGATTCAATTTAAATCTGCGATTTATCTATCGACATTATAACAATATGTTTAAAACAAGTTAACATATAAATGTAAACGAGAACTAATAATGTTAAATGTTAAATAATATTTATATTTGTCTAAAATTCAATATACAAACAAAAAATATATTATCAAGTTAGCATCTAGCAACAAGCACTCCACTCAAACTTTTGTGAGCAATAATATCAAAATAAGTACAAGAGTACTAACCTCTCATTTGATAAAAATTGGATCACTGCTCCCCGTTGTAGAACTTGATTCGGCCTCTGCATGATACGCAAATATCAAATTATTTATTAGTCCTTATTAATGATATTAACAAGCAACTAAGAAACAATATGAATAAAAATATCAAAACTGATAATAGAAAATAAATGTCACTTCTACTGCTTTCTCCGAGTCATTCAATGATTCTACCTTATCCAAATATTGGCAAAGCACTATAGGTTCATTGCTGCTATGCAACCAATTCTTCGTGCATATTAAGGCATCAACCATCTTTGCACTCAATGAACTCCTAAAGGAGTCAAGAATCCAACCACTCGTGGAAAATGCCGACTCTGGAGCAACCGTGGATATTTGAATTGCTAATACATCTTTGGCAATTTTAGATACAATTTTGTACTTGTGCGCGTTCAATTTCCACCATACTAATATGTCAAATTTGGGATCGGTTAAATCTTCACAACGATCAGACAAATAATCAACCAAATCATTCTTCTCAGATTGCATGTTTTGAATAAGTTTAGCTTTAAAAATAGAAGGAATTTGTTTAGAAAGATCGAAAGCAAGTTGTGAAGGACTTAAACTACTATTTTTGGTAGCCTCCTTTGATGAAGCCGATGTGGAGTGATTGGAGTCGCCATTTCTTCATAGCATGCATACAGCCTGTGGAGTGTCTCTTCAACTCTTTTTAACAACATTTTTGCAATTTCTACATCGTAAATAAGTTCAAACCCGACTTTAAGAAATTCCAACTTGCATCTTGGGTTAAGAACTGTTGCAATGAACAGCAATTGATTAAACTTTTCAACATGACCCCAATACTTATCATATTTTTCCGCATACTAATTGCCATAGATCCCATCAAAGTGTTAGGCTCTTTAGCTAATTCATTCAACTCTACATGAATTTCACATATTTCTTGAAAGAAAGAGTTAGAAGTTACATACTTCGAGCTACTAAATTTTAAAGTCATTTCATAGAAAGTCTTCAAGAACCTAACAAATACTTCTGCTCGATCCCATTCGACATGTGGTACATTTATATTTCTTCCATCGAACCTGTCGTTATTAAAATAATTTGTATAGTTTCCATAGCTTTCCAAAATAACAAATGTTTTTTTAAACTTCGTAGCAGCTTGCAACATCAAGTATGTAGAATTCTATCTAGTTGTGACATCCAAACACAACAAAGCTCGAGACTCAATATATGCTTCCTTGCAACTCTCATTGAACCTTTTTAGTCATTATTGGGAAGATCTAACAAATCTCACTGCATTACGAATAGCTGAAATAGCATGGCTTATTTCTTTCAAGCCATCACAAACAATCA